ACAATAGGTTTGAGCGAAGTTCGCCGCCTAGGAGAAAAGACAATCGAAGACGACGAATACATCTTCTACTACATTGGCCAAACAAAAGGAATATATGGAGTAGGTTTTCTAGTAAAAAAAGAATCACAAAAATAACATCAAAAAATTTACTGGAATATCCGAAAGAGTGTGCGTACTGGAAATCAAAATGGAAAACTTGTGTTTTGCAGTAATTCAAGCGCACGCCCCCACTGAAAACTCATCACATGAAGAAATAGACAATATTTACGAGGACTTAGCGAAAGCTCATGATTCCACATCTACTGAGTACGTATTTTCTATAGGTGATTTTAATGCTCAAATCGGAATTCCAGAAAAGTACGAACGTTCCGCTACAGGAGAGTATGGTTACGGTATCAGAACCTCTCGAGGGACGAGACTGATTCAATACGTGCAAGAGTACAACCAGAAAATTATGAATACAATGTTCAAACTAAAACCAAAAAACCGCTGGACATGGATCTCTCCAGATAAAAACACAAGAAATGAAATTGACTATATCATGACCACGAAGCACCACATGATCTCCAATTATGAAGTACTATCATTTTTCTCTTTTGTATCGGACCACAGACTACAAGAGAGCAACAATACACCTCAATTCAACAAAGAAAAGTAGGTGCAATTTCTCTAATACATCCACTAAGCTAAAAACTCTAGCGGAGCAGGAATTGTACCTTACAAACCTCTACAGCTTTATACCAGAACTTATAAAGAATCAAAACAACTACGATGCGGAGGAATACTATCAACAAATTATGCACTATATCAAGATAAGTCTAAAACATAAAAGGAACACATAGGAACTAAATCCTATCCGCGAAAGTGCAAGAACTCATGAAAGAAAGAAGCGAACTACAAAATAGGCTCAAATTAAGCGTAGCTGATAAAGAAAAACTAAAAACTTTGTAAAAACTTACCAACAAAGAAATAAAAAGGCGCTACGTTACCTACAGAACAACAACTATACAAAGACACCTCAATAATACTAGATCTGCCAAAAAAGCTTATAAAGAGCTAAATCACGCCAAAACATGGGTTCCTTTTCTCAAGTCGGGCAACAACAAATGCAAATCTCGCACAGAAATCATAAATGCTGCTATTGACTTCTACGCTAATCTATACAGACATTCAGACAAACAAAATCAAAACATGGTTTAATATAGCTACACAGATACCTCTCCAATACACCAGTTTACAGAAAATTAAATATTGAAACAAATAATGAGACTTAGCCAGAAAAAAGCCCAGGACCGGATGGAATCACCAACGAATGTATCAAGGTTGCGAAGACTCTACTACTGACACCAATCACCATCCTATGGAATAAAATACTTTGTGAAGAAGCTGTGCCACATCAATGGATGACATCGGTCGGACAATGATACTACTATATAAAAAAGGTGACCCAGCTGCTATAGGCAATTATCGTCCTATAAGCCTAATGCCTTGTTTTTATAAACTTTTAGCCTCCTGTCTACTTGAAAGGATAGCCCCAGTCATCGATACTCACCAACCGATCGAACAAGCCGGTTTCAGAAGCGGTTTCAGCACGATGGATGATATCCAAGTGGTTGACCAGGGGATAGAAAAATATTCAGAATTTCACAAATCCCTGTATTTAGCTTTCATCGACTACAAAAAAGCTTTTGATTCAATTTCACACGAGAGCATCTGGGAATCGCTGAAAGCAATACATACAAACGAAAAGTAAATCAATATCCTCAAAAAATATTTATCCTAACAGCACAAGTAGAGTCAAACTAGATAGGGTAGACGAAGAAATCAACATTAAGAGAAGAGGAAGAAGACCAGCAAGAAGACCCGATCTCACCAGAATTATTCATATCTGTCTTACAACACGTAATGGGAGAGCTGCCATGGTCCAACCAAGGTATTAATATAAATGGAAATTTTTTAAGTCATCTCAGATTTGCCGATGACATCATTTTATTTTCGGAAACCCCTCACCAAATAAACAAAATGGTAAATGAATTTAACCAGGCTAGTATAAAAACTGGTTTGGAAATGAATCTGGAAAAAACTAAAATTATGTCTAACCGCAGTGCAATGCCCATTTTAACAAATAACGCACCTCTCGAGTTTGTTAATCAATACATATACTTAGAAAACAAATCTCCTTTAGTAAGGAGAGAAATACTGAGGAACTTAACCGAAGATTGGCGATTACCTGGAACAAGTTCTGGCACCATAAGGAAATACTAAAATCGCAACTTCCGCTACCGACCAAGAAAATAGTCATGGATACTGGTCTTCTACCGTGCCTCACCTATGGATGCTAAACTTGGACTTTCGATCTCAAAACCAGGAACAAAATTCAGACTACCCCGAGAAGAATGAAAAGAAGTTGCCTAGGTTTAAAATTGAAGGATAAGGTAAAGAGCGTTGACATTCGAAAGAAGACAAAAGTATGCGATGCCTTAACTTTTGCAATAAAGGCTAAATGGAAATAGGCAGGTCACGTAGCCCGTTACAAGGACGATAGATGGACTCTACGGTCAGTAAAGTGGTCTGGGCCAAAAGGCACTAGATCAAGAGGTCGACTAAAGGCCAGATGGGCAGATGAAATTGTAGCGTGCGCGGGTGGAAGTTGGCTAGACAGAGCTATTGACAAAGAAGGGTGGCATTCCTTGGAGGAGGCTTTTACCCGAACGGGGTCCATGCATTAAATAATTAGGTAGTTGATAATTAAAGCAAATAATAACTTAAAAAATATAAACTAATTACAAAAGAGAATATATTATTGGGAATCAATTTCATCTAAGAATACAAATGTAATTGAATGTTATAGGGTAATAAGTTACCAAATGTGTCGTATGTACTATGCATGGAATTAAATAAAACTTTATTATTATTATGGTATCTGTATAGTTTTCTCATCTGGTTGGTTTCTATAAATATATAATTATAAATTAAAATGAAAAGATAAATATACATAAATATCAATAAAATAAAATAAATACAAAAAATACACAAATAAATAAAGATCCAACCAGATGGAAGCCCTCGGCAGGGGAAACCAAACGGCCGAGGGTTAGGGGGAAAGGGAAAGAAACTGACGGACGATGCGGGCGGTATCGAGGACCACTACCTTCTGCATTTGATTTTTATTATTATTATTATTATTATTTGGGGTATCTATATAGTTTTCTCATCTGGTTGGGTTCTATAAATATATAATTATAAATTAAAATGAAAAGATAAATATACATAAATATCAACAAAATAAAATAAATACAAAAATACATAAATAAATAAAGATCCAACCAGATGGAAGCCCGCGGCAGGGAAGACCAAACGCCCACGGATTAGGAGAAAAGGGAGAGAAACCGGCGGCCGATGTGGGCGGTATCGAGGAGCACTGCCTTCTGCATTTAAGCCCGGAGCGGTCCGTCACGGAGTCCCAGTCGCCTCAGATGACCCGAGAAGCTGGCTGGGATTAGCCCATTTGCAGAGACGACTACAGGAATAATTTCGGTCGGCAGGTCACCCCACATATCAGTCACCTCGTGAGCCAGGTCCAGATATTTAGTTCGTTTATATGTTTCGGCTTTCACGACGTTCTCGTCATACGGAATGGTAATGTCGACCAAAAATATCCTTGACTGTGCCCGGTCCATATCAGGCTTATTCGCAAGTATAGTCCTGTCAGTGATGGCGGCCCGGTCCCAGTAGAGCCTGGCACGGTCATTTTCGAACACGGCTTCCGGAAAGTACTTGTAATACGGCAATTTCCGTTCCACGAGACCGTATTTCAGAACTAGCTCCTGGTGTAGAATTCTGGCTACTAGGTTGTGCCTGTGCAAGTACTCAGAGTTAGAAAGTGCCGAACAACCGGAGATGACATGCCTAAGTGACTCTCCGGGATGGCAACAAGCTCGACGGACGTTAACGGTACCATCCTTTAGGTTGTATCTCCGATAGTTGTTGGTGGTAACCTGATCCTGTATTGCACAGACAAAACCCTCGGTTTCCCCGAAGAGGTTACCGGAACGTAGCCAGTTGAGGGAGGCGACTGTATCTACGAAGGGCTCATGTAGAGCCCTGTAGTACCTCCCGTGGAGCTCCTTCTCCTTCCATAGGCCTCCCGGTCGAAAATGCTATGTACTGTTGGGTCCTGCCATTGCTCGTTGGCTAAGGATAGAGGGGTAAGCCCTTTATCACTAGAAATTACGTTATTATAACCAGCGACTTCGATGACCGTCATTATAATCCGTGAAGTAATCACGGAGGCTGCACACTTCGCGATTATGAATGGTGAGCATCCTCAGGAGGCCACGCTCACCATGCTTTCGCGGCAAGTACAGCCTCACTACCGATGATCTCGGATGATGCATCCTATGGGACGACTGACTGACTGTTTCATATCAGCCTCATCGATACCGATGTTCTGTGACATACCGATGGCTGAAACATACCGATACCCAGGTATCGGTGTATTTCAGCCTCGGAAAGGGTCCTTAAGTTGACGAGCATAGATAAGTCTATGCCCTCAGAGTTAGCAACCCTTACCCTTTGAACATGGAGGACCACACACTTATCAGTCCCCAGCTCCATTACAGTGGAATTGTTAAATTCACAAGTGATGTTTAGCAATTACATAAGATGGGAGCGACTGGAGGCGAATAACTTAAGGTCATCCATATAGAAAAGGTGTGTCACTTTTGTCCTTTCCGTATCTGAAATCCCCTTCCGGAGCCCTCCAATAAGGTACTGAAAGGGTTCAGAGAGAGGCAGAACTAGATTGGACTCAGACAATCGACCGGAAGATACCCTTCTTATCCTTATCAGGCGGCGGAGAAGTTCCGACGGTTGCGTTTCACCACTTTGCTAATATCCGCGTCAATGAGGAGTGGTTCCTTGGTTCCACGAACACCGCCCCGACATCCATTTTAAGTGCGTGACATCACCTGATTTAGCTCCAGGTGACGAGTAATTCATTAAATGGATGTCAGTGTCTTATATATGGTGGGTAGACACGTGATGGAGCGGTATTTGCTCGGGTCTGTGGTATCCTGATCTTTAGGAACCAAGTGAGTGATTGCGGTAGTGAAGAGGCTCGGCAGCGACTCCTGATCTAGACCCTCTTGAAACTGTCGGGCGAGCACAGCGTGACACACTACGAACCCCTTCAGCCAGTAATGATGCAGCCCATCGAGCCCCAGACTTTTCCAGTTCGGGGCCCTATGGACCGCCTCAGCCACGTCTTCTGGCGTTATGGTGACGGGGTCCATAGGCGTAACACTTGCACTCTGGCTCGCCACAACTTCTATCCAAGGGCCCTCGCTGTGGCTTACGGGCTCTGACCACAGGCCACGCCAAAATGCGACAGTGTTAGCCTGATCCAGTCCTGGGCCCGCTCCACATACCTCTGGTTGCTCCAATAATTTATAGAGCCTCTTCTGATCACTCTGGAAGAGACGATTCTGATTAAACCGCCTTGACCTCTCGGTAAATCGTCGAATTCTCTTCCCCCAAGCAGCAATCTTTTGCTTCAGGTCGTCGATGCGCTCCATTAGTTTCTGCGTGATATCCGGCTGGGACAAACTGATATTTGTTCCAGCAAACGCCATTATAACGGTGCGCACAACCCTCGGTCTATCATTACCCGACCTGAAGCTTGTCAGTCTGCCGATAAGAGCCCTTGCCTTTGTGATACGGTCCTCAATTCTTTTTCTCCAGGCTGGGATGGCGCTACTTTGTTTAGTAGCGCGTCCAGCCACGCCAAGTTTGGCGCTAATAATACGGCAAACTGCCACTGCGGCGCTTAAAAGAACTGAGTCCGTCTCGCAAAGGTCCCGGCTGGCTTCCAAATAGGTTACCAGCATTGGGTTAAGAGCCCTCACGACAGCCCGATTTCGCTTGCTTAGGGGTATGCGGGGAAGTCGCGGCCGATTTTCGATAGGCATGCTGCGCGTTTCCAAAATCGCCTCTTCCAATATACTCCTCATTTACTCTAGTACTTGGGAGACCATTTCATCATCGTCCGAATCAACCACAACTGGAAGATCCATGGCAACTTCCACGCGTGGATGCTTATCTGTTGCCTGAGGAGTCGCATCCCCAGCCATAGCCAATTCACTCTATTCTGTTATTATTATTATTATATCAAAATTAATGTCGATATGTATCTTTAATGTTTAAATTGATTCAATAGACTTGCCCAAAAAGAAGAGGAATGAAAATTAATGTTTGATTTGCATTCTTTAAACGTAATTTTATTTTGCCGTTTGTCAAACAGATTCCATCCGGTTTCTATAATAAAATAATGGTTAAGATTAATTGGGCGGGTTAGGTAGAATCCAAAGAAGAAGTCAACAATTTGCAGCAAACGTTTTTTTGACAAGTATATAAGAAATAGCAGGATAAAAACATTTTTATTACATTATTTGTACCAGTAAGTATAATATTGCTAAAGTAAGATTTCAAAAATTTTACTTCAAAAACTTTAGTTAAAAAAGAGATAGATTTTTATACTCTCTATTTATCAACTAAAACAGCATATGTCTTTACTTAACCACGCACACCTCACGGTCACACTAGTACAATGTTCATAGCATTACGCTATTTTCCCCAAGGCGTTGAGTGGAGCTTCGGATAATATTCCCAAGTCATAATAATAAAATTTTAAGCGTAGTTAGGTAGATATTTAGTAATCTTCTTGAAGTGCCGCTAGACGATCGAGCATGAGATGCGCGTTTCAGTGTCCAGGATAGTATAAATTCCATAGTATTTGATACTCACTACACTCGATGCCCGAGTAATGCTTAATGCCCGACGACAGTGTGCCCTTGGTTAAGTAACAGCTGCACAGATCAATAGACCTGTGATATTAAGCTGCACTTGTCGCGGTCAGCCGATAGATGGGTGACTGTTTTCTTAACATACTTTTATTGTGAGAATAGAAGAGTGTATCAGTATTTTTAAACACTTGGTGCCTTTTATTATTTTATGCGTATTTAGCTAGTCTCTGTTGTTTCTCATTATGTTTTTAAATTCATGCAGCAAAAATTATAATAAGTTTATTATTACTTTATATTTTTCAGGGACAGATGAAAGAGGGATTAGCTTCATAAACATATTGGCCTTTAAACAAAGTAATCTTAATTAATTGATTTCTACAATTTTTCATACTTACATTATTAAACTTACATTCAAATTTAAGTCGAATGTTAAAATAAACTTCTATAATGTATTTGTTTATTAATTCATAAATGTTTGTCATTATTAAAAGTAGGTATAATATTTATATCCTATACCTTTAAACGAGCAATTCTTGTATATATATATCAAAAAATATTATTCGTATTTCATTAGTATGTAATTTGTATCTAAATGTAATTTCCAAAACACGAATTAAAAAAACCGAGCGAAAAATACCAAGCAAAGCTCGGTCAACCGGGTACTAAAAAATAAAGCAGCCATTATGTACTCAGTGTCCCTGTTTTTTTATTTCACCAGCATAACATTTTATTTTATAAATATGTGTACAGCTGATTAGTGACTGCCAGCACGGTTTCCGTCGGGGTCGCTCAGCTGGTGATCTTCTTGTTTACCTAACACACCGATGGGCACAGGCTGTCGAGTGCACGGGGGATGCCCTGGCAAGGGCCGGATTTAGCCTAAGTGCTACCCTGGGGCACCGTGGAAAATACTCCCCTCTCATCTCTCCTCCCAACTCTCCCTCCCTCCTCCTGCCAAACAATTCTAAATTATGACCAAAAAGATAGAGCTACTCTGTGATTCACTCAATAAGTTGTCAGACGTTATATTTTTCTACTAACAACTCTGTTATTATTGTTTTATACTAGACTTCGAAACGTAAACATCTAATGAGAACTCGATTTTTAAAAATCGACATCATACCAATAACATCCCAATTTTTAAAAATCATTGATTTTCATAGCAGAAAGTTAAAAAATTTTTGCTCACACTCCAAATTTCGCCATCCTCAAAATTTTGGCACCGTGGGCTTGGCAATAGGCCCTAGTGCACCTAGTGTAAATACATTACTAGTTCTAGCTTGGCACAAAGCACTTATTTCGAAGCTTCCGTGTTATAGGCTTCCTGAGAAATTATACAAATAGATCACCAGTTTTCCCTCAAATCTGAGCATTAAGGTCGTATTAGATGGTACATGCTCCGACTCCAAGCTTGTGAAAGTATAATATATTAGATACATATATAGTAGTTAATGAAGTATCTACCTATTTCTTTGACTTATATATTACTAGCGTATGGACCGGGCCGACCGAACATCTAAAACGGACCAGTGCGCTGGCCCTAAAATTACAGTTTAGGGCCAACAGTGGTGCGCGCGCAGGACAGATTTGCCTGTCACAAATATGTCTAGTTGCGTGGTAAAAGAATGCAAAAATTACGATACAAAGATTTTAAAAAAAAACATGGGATATAATATTACTGGTAAATAACCTTATATTAATTTTGTTACAATTAAATTGTTATATAAACGCATTTTTAAAGTTTTGTTTTACGGTTAGTTTTTACGTTACCAAGATTAAGCCAGGTTTGAATTCAGACCCACAAAAATATTGTACATGGAAAATAAAATTATATTTAAAAAAATATATCACATTTTGGCGTCACGCGTCTAGTTTATCCGTGCGTTTCATTTTTTTGATGGTTTTATTTTTATTTCTGTTTTTTGTCTAAAGAACTTAGTGTGAATTAAATTTTGAATATTGGTACCTAATATATTTTATATTCAATAAAAGTAAAACGAGCCGAGGTAGCTCAGATGGTTAGCGCTCGCTATAAATTTTACAGTACGTGAGCAAACCTGGTTCGATCCTCGCCCGTACCAATGAAATTGTTAATTGCAATTTTAATTGCTTGTTTACCACGTACTCAACGGTGAAGGAAAACATCGTGAGGAAACCTGCATGTCAGAGAAATAAGAAAATAAATATTTCGAAGACAAGTGAAGTTCGCCAACACGCATTGGGGCAGCGCGGCGGACAACTTCTTGCCCTAAAACCCTCTCAGAAATGAGCGGAGGCCTGTGCTCAGCAGTGGGACGTATATAGGCTGTAACTTTAAGGGTAAAACGAAAAGAGTACAAAAGAAACTTAACTCTGCTTAATTGAATCTGAAAATCTGATTCATAAAATATTTTGAAATTCTGTTTTCAAACCTTTTTGAAAAAAAAATTGCTTCTGGAGCATAGAGTTTTTATCGTGGTAGCCCCTAATTACAGTAGTATCTAGGATGCAACATAAATGCATCGATCGAGCGTCGATTGACCAGAAAGGGAGCTAATTCTAATTTTATTAAAAAAAAAACGCGGTACTCATGTACAATACAGATATTCTCAATATCGTAGGGTTAATATTAAAATGTAAAACCGGCCAAGAGCGTGTCGGGTCACGCTCAGTGTAGGGTTCCGTAGTTTCCCGTCCGTCACAATAAGTGTTCCCACTTATAAGTTTAAAGGTGGGTATCCATTATGTTCGCGCTCCAGCAGCACTTCGCGCTCCTGCAACTGCTCTCGGTAGTGGGTACTGTTGTTTCAATCTAAGTTCAAAATGATTTTCCTAGAAATTCCTTATAAAGTTCTACTTTTCAGATTTTTTTCATATTTTCTAAACTTACGGTTCAAAAGATAGAGGGGGGGGACACATTGTTTTTTACTTTTGGAGCGATTATTTCCGAAATTATTGACATTATCAAAAAATTATTTTAGTAAACCCCTATTCATTTTTAAATACCTTTCCAACAACATATCACACGTTAGGGTTGAAATTAAAAAAAAAATCACTTCCCACTTTACATATAGGGGGGCTACCCTAATAAAACATTTTTTTCCAATTTTTATTTTACCATTTTGTCGCCGTGATTGATACACATATTGGTACCAAATTTCAGCTTTGTAGTGCTAACGGTCACAGAGATTAAGCGAGGACGGACAGTCGGACAGACAGACATGGCGAAACTATAAGGGTTCCTAGTTGACTACGGAACCCTAAAAAGGACCCAATAACAATACAAATCGACCTTTAGGTAAAATTATGATATTTTCGCTTAGTATTATTACGAGACTATGTACTACAAACTATGAAATAATGGTACAATTAGGATAAGTATACTACGAAATGCGACCCTGGTTACGGCGGTGTTTGATATGACGTTCGTATTTATGACACATGCGCTACTTAATGATTTCTTATATTTACGCGAACACTACACATTGAAATAATACTAGTTTTTACGGAATTTATCGCGTATATTTAACTTGAGCACTCATGGTCACGGGCGGGACTCATCAGACCCGCCCGTGACCATGAGTGCTGTAAAGCGTTCGAAACGTCGGGTATTTAAAAAGTTAAATATACGCGATAAATTCCGTAAAAACTAGTATTATTACATGCGCTACTTTTTCTTTTATGAAATAGTTATGAGTAAAATATTTAGATGGGCCTATCCTTCCTTTTGAAATCATTGACCTATTTATATTTCAATTTTCAAATTTCAAGTTAAAAAAGAAATTCCGGAGAAACTGCCCATGACGATAAATATTTTCTCCAAAGGTCATAGCTCGAAAATACAACTTTCCGATCTGATTCTTGGGGAAAATTGTTTCGGCCTTATTCCAAAATACGGACTATATTTATATATAATACGGAATATATTTATACGGAATATATTTATTCCAAAATACGTACTGGGGTTAGTACTAGGATTAAAACATGAACTATGGTTCATAAAAGATAGCTTGATCTCTGCGACAGCTGTCAGTAAAAATCACGCCTATGAAGTCCTGAATGCACTAATTAGGTCGGCATGCCCATAAAGTATGACATTGACAGGT